CCCCAAAACCCCAAAACCCCAAAACCCCTGAACTAAAAAAGAAATTCTTATTTTTTTAAGTTATGAAGTAGATTAAATAAATTTAACTTAAAATAAATAAATGAGGCGAAATCATATCAAAGGATCAGTTATCCACTCAAGAAAATAAAACATCCTCAAGGACAATTTTAATAGGCCACCTCGATCTAGACTCTCAATAGAAAAAAGAAACACTCTTTCGCAGGGAGCTTATAATAATGAGTATTTAGAAAGTCATCAAAAGCGTCATAATAATCTTCACTATTCTATATCAGAATGAGAAATTGACGTTAGGACTCCAGAAAGAAATATGAATGCAAAAATTAGATTCCCATAGGGACAGCCTAATCAAAGATACAATCAGTTCAATGTTAAATTGTGTCCTAATAATGACATAAATTACGAGCTTTACAATAGAGAGATATTAAATCTAATCAAAAATTAGAATTTTTGTGAATTTCGGTTTAGAAAAACTCCTTTCGATGAAAAAAGTATATATAAAAAAGACGAGTATATAAATAATAGTATCATTAGGCCACCAAACGTTGACAGAAATTCATTGATTCAATAAAAAATTAATAATTTCCATCGCGAAGCTAAATCTATCTTCCTAAGTCATATTGATAGTAGGAGAGATAATGAAGTTAAGAGAGCCTAACTAGAACTGCAAAATACTAAAAACTATAGAGTAAAAAATGTTCAATTAATCAAGTAGTTTGGAGTAGACAATTAACTTTAACAGCATACTTTTTCGAACAGCTAAGTTAAAAATCAGAGAGTAAATAATTTTGTGGCTTTAGTTAATAATCATATTTCTAAATCAAATACATTCGAACTCTTCGAAGATCCAAAATCTAATTCTAGTTAAACTAGAGAAGAGACTCAAAGAACTTATATAAAGTACAATCAATAAACTCCTGCAAAATTCTAGTCACCAATGCAGTAAATATAGTAACTGTAGCAATAGATTATTCAACTAAATGGTCTTAAAACCACAATTTAGGATGAGCAGTAAATTAAGATTCCAAGTAGTGGATAAAAGCCAAGTATATCTAGAATGAACATAAAGGGGATTCAGATTAGTAGCTAACTGACTAGATAGCCACACACAACCAATCACAGTCAGCCAGAAATGATAAGATACTCGCATCAAAGACGTATCAGTACTGCTAATTAATCTTCATAAAAACAAATTAGAGGCCCAATAAGACAATCCATAACAAATCCAGAGTATGTAAGCATAAATAGGACTCAGGATAATACAACTAATAGTACCACTGCAACTAACACAAACAACCCAAATCTGAAATCTCAGACTTCATTACTTCAATCTAGGATTATTAAAAAAAATAACTACTAAACTCCTTAAAAAAGCACAACTCATTCTAATCATTTAATTAACCAAGTAATTAGATACTCAAATGAATTTATCTTAGAGACATTTATAAGACCAAATGATTAGCCACCTAATCTTGAAAGGATTAGGTCAATCTGTATTTACTTCGGATTTAAGTTGCCTAAAAATATTATTTCAGATCCTTAGTAAGTAAAATCAAAAGAATTTTAGATTTACGCCAAAGAAAGAATACTTCAAAGATTATACGATGTGATAAACAAAGAAAATTGTACTGATACAGCTTAGATTCACTAATAGCAATAAATAATGAGAAAATTTTACGTGGGTAGGGGTAACAACTACTAATTAGTTAGGTCAGTTTTTAAGTAAAGATGGTGGTGGTAGCTTAACCCTGACGAGGACTTTGAGGCTGCTAATTTTATTTGGACATCTTGGAGAAAAAATGATTTGATTAGTGGCTTAAAGGCTAGAAATCATAAAAATGAGATATGGACTGATGGAAAGATTAGAATATATAATAAACTAGAGGATAATTTTCATCTTAGTAATAAGAAAGCCTTATTTTTTAATATGAGTTAGTACTACAAATTGACTAACAGAGACCCTTTTGAGATGCTTCCACTGACTTTTCATATTGAGCATGGTCTTGATGATCCTGAATTCGATAAATTCAAATAGTACTTTGACTAAATTGAAAAAGAAAGGCTAAATAACAAAAGGATATTAGAAGAAAAAAAGCGCTAGTATTAGTAGCAACATTAGGATGATGATTACGATTCTGAAGAAGAGATTGATGAAGAAAAATTTTATAAAGTTAGGATTCCGAAAAATATATGGATTATGAAGCCAGGTGAAAATTCTAATAGAGGAACAGGAATTTTTGTTTGTAATACCCTAAAAGAAATAAGAACTGAGATAACCTCATCTGCAAAGCAATAGCATACTCATATCATACAGAAATATATAGAAAGACCTCTACTTATAAACAATAGAAAATTTGATATCAGAGTTTATGGAATGTTAACATCTGTTAATGGTAATATGAAAGGATATTTTTACGAGGATGGTTACATTAGAACATCTTGCAAGGAATTTAATTTAGATAATCTGTAGAACCGATTTATCCATCTGACAAATGATGCAGTATAGAAAAAATCTGATGACTATGGGAAGTTTGAAAATGGAAACAAGGTTTCATATTAGAACTTTTAGAAGTATTTAGATACTAACCTTTCAGATAAAAATATTAGCTTCTAAGCCCAATTGCTCCCTCAAATCAAGGTAAAATATATTTTTTAATAAAAAATAGACTATTATAACTGACACATATAAAGCAACCTTCCTAAAGATAGATCCACATAGAAGGTCTCACTGCTTTGAAATATTTGGCTATGATTTCATGATAGATGATGAGTTTAGAGTTTACTTAATCGAGGCAAATACGAATCCGTGTCTAGAACTCTCCTGCCCACTTTTAGCAAGAATTATTCCTGCCATGTTAGATAGTGCATTTAGGCTGTCTATTGACCCACTTTTCCCTCCACCAGATTTTAACATGGCAAAGAAAAATACTTTACATGAAATTATGCCTATCAATAAGTTTGAATTAGTGTTTGATGAACGAATAGAAGGTGAAAAACTAAGAGAGATTCTAAAAAATCAAGAAGAGATGAAATGTAACTTTTTGAAGCTAATTAACTTCTATAGTAAAAATTGATGCCAATGATGAATTTGAGGAAGAGTCTCAAAATTCCGATGGATCTGATCATTAAAATGAGATTCTTCAAGAAGATGTCAGTAATATACAATACTTTAATGAAGACGAATGAGCACTAAACTCAATTTGTAGAATCCTCTCTTGGTATGTATAAAATATAATCATCATTCCCCCTACAAAATGAGACACTATTATTGCTTGATTTTACTATAAATAAGAATAATATTATTAATTATGCTAATATTTCTATGCTTTTGCAATCGTTAAATATACATCATTTAGGGGTTTTGGGGTTTTGGGGTTTTGGGGTTTTGGGG